GATGATAGATAAACCTATTAGAAACTTCAAACAGCATTATCAGGGACTGTGCCAAGAGGTTGAGAGAGGAGAGCAGGGGGCAAGTGCTGAAGAGAGAAAGTCCACCTGGATGTAAAGACAGCCATGAGCTTTGCTGAAGGAGAGCAACGAAGATCAGCTCTGCCCTCTCTGCAGGAAAGCCAGATACACGGATACACGTGGACACACACCCACACGTGCTGCACACGTCATAGGAATGGGATAGCACTGGCAATGTCTGATGACTTTCAGTGGGTATTTCCATAACCCTCGCCTCAGCCAGACCATGGGAGCCAGGTCTCACATGTTTCCCCCAGGGTTTAGAGAGTGCAATGCCTGGGGTGGTGCTGTGACCCCAATTCAGGTGTTCTGTTTCCTCTCTTGGGGCTCTATCCTTTAGCAGCTGCCCCCCACCTTTTTGGCACCAGGCACCAGTTTCATGGAAGACAATTTTTCCACAGATGGGGGAGGGGGGTGGTTTGGGGATGATTCAAGAGCATTACATTTATTGCACACTTCACTTCTGTTATTATTACATCAGCTCCACCTCAGGTCATCAGGCATTGGGCCCTGGCGGTTGGCGACGCTGCTCTATCGTAGTGGTTTCTAAGCCTGACCAATCAGCAGCAGCTCCTGGACTCTTTCCTACATAGTCTCAGGCCCTGCTCCAGCTCTAGAAACTCTTGACTCAGTATAAATGGGTCAGGGCCTGTGTCTCTGCATTTTTGGAAGCATCACAGGTGAATCTCGATGTGAGCTTGTGCAAACTCCAGGAGATACTAAAGGACAGGGAGGCGTGGTGTGCTGCAGTCCATGGGGTAGCAAAGAGTCGGATATGATAGCGACTGCCCAACAACAGGTGAATCTGAACACTATTTAGGTTTTAGGACAAATTGCTCTCTATTAAGAGCACTGTGCGTGTGCATGCATGCATGTGTATGCAACCATGTGTCCTCCCACAGGCAAGCCTTGCAAATGTGTAAAGTAGGTAACATGTCTTGGATGCCTCTCATCTTCTCTTAAAAGAAAAACCCTTTGGTGGGGGCTTCCCTGGTGGCTCAGTGGTAAAGAATCTGTCTGCATTGCAGGAGCCATAGGAAAAACGGGTTGGATCCCTGGTTGGGGAAGATCCCCTGGAGGAGGGCATGGCAACCCACTCTACTATTCTTGCCTGGAGAATTCCATGGACAAAGGAGCCTGGAGGGCTACAGGCCATGGGGTTGCAGAGTTGGACACAACTGAAGCGACTTAGCATGCATGTACACACCCTTTGGTCATCCTTCCTGATGTCTCATGGTTCCTTGGCTAGCCCCCCATCAAATGGTAGCTTAGTCCCTATGAGGGGTTGGTACATTGTCACAGTAGACTCTTAGGGATGGATAATCATTCAAGTTCAAATGTGGTAAATCCCTAGTGGTGGCATTTCAGGCTTTGGGATGGGAGACATTTTAGGGAAGAGAAATGTCTCATCACACCATGTGCTGGTGTATTTGCCACGATAGCTCTCCAGCACAGAACTCCCATGTGGATATCACATGCTTGCAGGTATAGAGTATAAACAGAATACCAACACAACTCTCAGAATAAAAAGCAAACACATATAACAGGCAGGTGGAATTTTAGAGCATGCAACCTTTTTTAGGGAAAAAATTATGAAGGCATTTTCAGTGTTGCGTGTCATTGCAAGGCATCCTCTTGAAGCTGGGAGAGAGGCATCTGGAAACACGAGTTTGTCATGGAAACGCTGACAGGGCTTCAGCAGAAGGATGCTCACAGGTGCAGCCTGGAATGGCACAGTCCTTCGTGGCTTGTTTACAACCCAGCACACTGAATGAATTCTCTGTTCCTCTTGGCCACTGGAAAGTCAGCTGGCCTTCGGGGATCTGGGGGCAGATCCACTTACCAGAAAAGTTGGTTGTGTCTCTCTTGGTGGTCATCTTCAGACATCCAGAGAGGGGAATAGATGGGGTCTTAGATCAGTTTCACATCTGGGAGAAGGCTTCCTGGAGGGAGTAGAGAAAGAAAGGAGGGAAGGAAGGAGGAGAGGGAAACGTACTGATTCTAAGTGTTAAGCACTTTCAGAAGCTTATACCATAGTCTTCATGTCTTTAACACTATCAGCTGTAACCCAGTCAGTTATAAAAGGTTATTTCCATGTTACAGGGAAGGAAACAGGCTGGCAGCATCCAGAGTGGGAGCTGACACCTGCATCCCTGGGAAAATTAAGTGGCTGGGTGATGTAGAATTAGGAAGCTGATGACTCTGAACCCACCACTTTGGTTGATGCCAAAAGCTCTGGAGCAGAGAATGCAGGCCTTCCCTTGTCAAGCAGAGAGAAAGCTAGAAAGGAAATTCCTCCAACCTTGGACCTGTCAAGGGGTAGGTGACTGATCACAGACACTGCGCTGTGGGCACTGGGTTCCTGGAGGTACCTGCTCTCTATTCTTTTAGGCTGGAGTCCTGGCAGGAGCCATAGACGGCCATCAGCTGCTTTAGGGAGCCAGTGGGAGAGGCCTGAGAGGCTGGGGCGGGGGTTGGGAAAGGGCAAAGGTGGCTTCGGCCTGGGGGAAGTTCCTATTTGATGGGGAAACCGTCATCTCTTAGGGGAATATGACCAGAGCTCTGCCCACGCATCCAGTGGGGGTAGAGGGAAGACAGTCCATGCCTTTCAGGGCCTCACAGTCTGGAGAGAGAAGGCCTCCTAGCCCTCTCCTATGCACCTGCCTGGCCTGAAGCATCCTCCTACAGCCGGTTCTATCAGAGCTGCCTGCTCCCTGGAGGCCTGCAGCCCTGGCCGGGCCCGGCGGCTCTGCTAGGAGGCTGGTTTGCTGAAAGGGCTTCTCCCACCTTTCCTTCCTCACCAAGGAAGCCTTGGGAGCTTGGGAGCTATTCCAGGGCTGGCTCTGACACGAATTCGCTGCTCCGTGCGCCAGGCGATCAGAGAGAGCTGAGTTCTCTCTCTTTTCCCTCGGAGGTGTTGATAGTAACAGCAGAGACAGCTGCCAAGTTGGCAACGGAGCAGAGCGGCGGAGCGGCTGTGCACTGCGGCAGGAGGGGCGGGGAGCGCGCGCCGGCGGAGGGCTGGGCCACCGCGAGTCTGTTTATCCTGGGATCCAGAGGGTCCCCGCTCCAGGCTGGCAGCCAGCCCCTTGCGCGGGGAGGGAGACTGCGGAGGAGGGTGGAGGCCCCAGGGGAGGCTTGGGGCGGGGGTGTGGGATGACGTGTCTGGGAGGCTCCCAGGTCCAGGGGCTGCCGGAGTGTGAGGGAGGGACTTTCTGGCTGGGCCTGAAGCCAGCAACCAGCCTAGCCCCCAGAGGCAGGACAGAGTCCACCTTTGTTCCCGCTGTGGTTGAAGAGGTTTCCAAACAGGAATGGACTCGAGGTGGGGAGCTGGGGAGCGGAAGCTGCTTCCTACCAAAGAGGATTTAAGGAGGGTGCCTGTGCTGTCCATCAAACGGACCTGGGCCAAGTCATTGGACTTCTTTGAGCCTCAGGGATGAGTATCTACTTCAGAGCTTTGTGTCAGCTTCAACACGGCAGAAATTGCAATAACTTATCTACTGCTGACTCCATGGCAGACACTGTTTGAAGAGCTGTGTGTGTGTGTGAATGCACTTAATCTTCCAATGACTTCATTAGGTGGGTGCTATTATTGCTCCCATTTTATTAATGAAGTAACTGAGGCCCAGAGAGGTTAAGTGACTTGCCCAATATCACAGAGCTGGTGATTATCAAAGCGGGGTCTGAACCCACTCTTGTCCCTTTAGACCATGTTCCCCAGGCCTCACACGAACTGCCTTCACAGTGCAACTGAGTTTGTAGTGCCATGCCTGGCACAGAGCAAGTGTTTCATGGATGTGAGCTCTCACCCGACACCCCCAGAGCAGCTCCAGACATGGGACCCAGGCTCTGACATCCTCCCCAGGGATGCCATGGGGCCCTAAGGTGGTCTTCCCTTCCATCTTTGGCCTGTATGACCTTGCTTATCCTAGGAGGGAAGATTCCTGCTTTGGCTTGAGAGCGGCTGGTCTTCCCCCTCCCCTCCTCCCGCCCGCCGGCTGCCTGCCTGCCGGAGGCAGAGCGGAGCAGAACAGCGGAATTCTCAGCTTCCTCTAGTTACCCTCAGTCTGCAAAGAAAACATAGTCTGCTGTGTCTGCTGCCAGCTCCTCTCTGGTGACAGCCACAACCCATTTGCTCAGCGCCAGCCCAGGCTGTGCTGTGAGGAGAGCTGGCAGCCAGGCCCTAGTCTCCTGCGGGAGACCCTGGGCCGGTCACTGCAAGGCTGGGCTTCGGGGACTGGTGAAAGGGGGAGGCCTGGGCCAAATGACTATTTGAGGCCGTTTTGGTTCTAAGAGCTGTGCCTGAAGGTGGTTGTGCTCCTGCACGGCCTCTTCCCAGGATAGGTAGTCCATCTCATCAACACATTTCCCATTCTTGACTCAGGAGGAGAGTCATTAATGCCCCCTTGCAAATTAATAACCAGCTTTCCAAGACCACCAAGGTCTGCTACTGGCCACCCTTGCCTCTTAGGAGATACGGGGAATGAATCCTTTGCCACTTTCTGGGAGGCCAGATGAGCCTCCGGTTAGCTGTGAGGTGGTCAAGCTAGAGCCAGGAGCCTGGAATACTGATTACCTCCGAGGCCTGAGTGCCCCCCACACCCCCATCTCCCACCCCCATCCCTGCCCCCGGGGATGATTGAGCCCGAGGTATCACGGAGGGGAAAAACCTCAGAGCAGACGTCTCAGAACAACACTGTCCTGCTTAGGTGTGTGTGCCAGGAAGCATGGTGGGTACACTGGCTACAGATTCACCTCCTAATCGTTTCCTTCACGTAATGACTACCGACAGGAGGAGACCAGGTGGGTTGGGAAGCTGGAGTTGAAATTTTGCCATGGATAACTCAGGAGGAGATGAAATCGTCTACATTTTATACTTAGAACAGAGAAAGCAGGGATGTGATTTCTTCTTGTCGGAAACCTTTAATTAAAGGAATGTTCAGTCCCCAGGGATCTGCTGGAGCGTAGTGGCCAAGTACTCAGAACAGAGAGGCTGTCACAACCCTACAACTCCCTTCTCTGCGCTAACTACCCCAGCAGCCCGTAGGCCTCCTTAGGTGGGGGAATGTTCTCTGTTCTGGCTAGGGAGGGTGAGGGGAGACCGAGGCAGCCAAGCAGAGGGGAGGCCTTGAGGTGTGGCAAGGCCCACCCAGAAGGCAGCCACCCATCGTCATACGTGGGTGACCACTCTGTTGGTCTCTGGGGTCTGAAACAATGAACTTGCTTTACTGGAGACTTGCGTTTCCTAGAAGAGTCTCTGTTGTAACAGAAGTCAGAGAGAGAAAGGGCTGCCTCGCAGTCAACCTGCTGACACATTATCTGTTCTGTAAAGTTACAAGGTCTCTATCCGTTGCTCCCAGGGATGCATTTTCTCTGTCCGACCCCGAGGGGCTCATTTAGTGGATGACAAGGAGTCTGATGGGTGGATATAGAGGGGAGACTGCAGGGGAGTGGGGAGCTCTTCTGCTGGTGATTCCACTTGATGAGAAGCAGTAGTCAGACGAAAGACATGGAGTCGGAAGAGATGAGACGCAAAGCCGGAGCTGAAAGGGGAGAGTTGACTGGCGGTGAGGGAATGAAGGTAGTAGCCCCAGGGGACTGGGAGGAAGGAGCTGGCCAGGAGAGGTGGTGGGGGTGGCGGGCAGAGGGCATGGGCCTGGCCTAGACCTTCTTGGATGGGGTACATGGCAGGCCAGCCTGGAGGCAGGGGGATACCCAAGATGACCTGTAAGGGTCCCTTCCCTCTGGCAGCCTCTGCAGAAATCCAGAAATGGGTGAGCAGAAGTGGGTCGAGGGTCAATTTTCCTGAAGGAGCCCTGAGCTGGAGACGGGATGTGTTGACTCTTTATTTATTGATGAGGCTATCGATTTGAATGCAGCTTTTCCACAGGCTCCCGAGGTAGCTGGAGCTGGGAGAAGAAACCTCATGTTAGCCTCCTTTGCCCTTGAGAGGCCAGGCACTCAGATAGGCGGCCTCCACCCTCCCCTCCTTCCCCCTGCTCTCCTCATCCCTTCTGCCCTTCACCCCTGTGTGCCCTGAGGGTTGGGGGCTCCAGACAACCCCTCCAGTTTCTTCTTTTTCTGAAGTCTGGCTGTTCTGGGTTCCTTCCACTGTTTAGAATGCACTCGGGCACCCCACATTCTAACAGCAGGGCATTGCTTCATTCAACTACACATTAAATTTCCAAGCTAGAAAAGACCTCTGAGATCCTCCCAGCAAAGATCTTTTGTTTTACTGAGAAGGGACAGAGGCCAAGGGGAAGCGATTTCCCCAAAGCGGCCAAGAGACACAACCTGGACAAGAGTGAGGCTGGGCCTCCGGATTCTTCAGGTGAGGTGCCTTTGAGCTGTGCCGCGTTGCCACCCAATCTGGCCCCTCAACCCAGAGATGGGAGTGCATCTGAGCTGGGACTTGCTCTCTGAGACCTTTGCCGCCCGCCCCCCACCCCCACCCCATTTACAGTCTTCCAGCAGGGCCGCTCCTAAGTTTGTTTTGTACTTGATGAAATCTTTGCTTTCGGTCTGCCCCTCTGGAAAATAGGGTTGAAAAGGTTCTGTATGACTGCAGGGGAAAATATAGAGGCTGGTGATAATGACTGGGCGCCCGCTCAGCCTCGCCCGGCCTTAAACGCCCTGCTTTTCCTCCTCTCTCTTGGTTGGCCCCTTTCATGAGGCCTGTCCCAGCCTTTGTGACCCAGCACCAGCCTTCACGTGGGGCAGAGATGCCCGTGTCTACTCATCCTTGAAATGAAGATGGCTCTTCTCCCTCGGCTTTGACTCCAGAGCTCAGTTTTCCAGAGAGGCAGATACAGGCTTTTCTAGGTGGATAGAATCAGGAGACAGGGCAAAACTGCATCAAGCACCATGGGCTGGCTCCCATCTTTGAAGACCCTGAAGTTTGGCCCAACTGAACATGGCTTTAAAGATGAGGACCTTTGCATGAGGCTAGGTGGGCACTATCTTCTTAAGGTTGTTGATGTCATTGTACTTCTCCTTAGGTTGATATTTGGCATTCAATGTTCCAAGCTTTAACCCTAACCTGATTTTCTGGCCTCATTTCTTCTTTCTTCCCTTCTCACAGGCTGCACCCAAAAGGAATTCCATACAAGCACCACATTTTCTCCCTGTGTCCCAGTTGGTCTAGAATGCCTGCTCTACACATGCAGAAAACCCATGTCCTAAGACACTTTCCCTGATTCTAGCAACTGACATCAATTGAGCTCTACCAGGTGCTGGAATTTGCACTTTGTTTTCATTCTAACCTCAAAGTCCTCCCTATTTCTCCACAAGTTGGGGCTTCCTCAGTGTCTCAGTGGTAAAGAATCCGTCTGCAATGCAGGAGACTGCCTGCAATGAAGGATAGGCGAATTCATCCCCTGGGTCGGGAAGACTCCCTGGAGGAGTGCATGGCAACCCACCCCAGTATTCTTGCCTGGAGAATCCCATGGACAGAGGAGCCTGGTGGGCTATAGTCCATAGGGTTGTAAAAGAGTCAGACACAACTGAAGTGACTCAGCATGCATGTACTCACTGTAGTCTCCAGGGTCTATATTTTCAGTCAGTACACTTGATTACCTCTCAAGAAACAGCGACACTTTCCAAACTTATCTTTCTCTTCGCTAGGATTTTATCTGCATTTTCCTTTTCTCGCATCACTTTTTTGAATTTTGACTGTAACTGCTTAGATCATATGCTTTCACTTCCTCACTAGACTGTGAGTCTTCAAAAGCACGACCTGGGTCACATTTGGTGTGTCCCCAGCATAGGCCCAGTGTTAGCACATGGCAGGGGGCCATTAAATCTGTTTCGGATGAAAGAATGAATAGACGACCGAATGAATCTGAATTGTAGTGAGAGCTAATGTGTCTGCCCATGGTGGAGTAGGGAGTTGGAAGTCACTTTTCTGAAGGTCCCAGCTTCAGGTTTCCTTTTTAAAGGCACCATGGGAAATGAAGGGAATGGAAGCGTTTCATAGGTGAGTGAGAACAGTAGCGCAAACCCCTGCATGTCTGTAATTACAGAGCCTCTGCGAGCCGCTGCTCCTGGCAGCACGCTGGGGAACGTGTTTTCAGTTCTCCAGGTTGGGAACTGCAGGTACTACCTATTGCTTTGTGTGAGCTGACATGGCAGTGAAAGGAAAAGAGAGGAGAGGATAATAAATCCTGGGAGCGATGGCTTTGCCCGGGGCAGGGTCTGCCCTGAAAGCAGAGGCCTCCAGCGTGCATCCTACCTTCAAGGCCCACTTGCTGGGCTCAGAGGACTGTAGCCACCCTTTCTGGGTCAGACTCTGGGGACCAGTTCAGTTCAGTTGCTCAGTCGTGTCTGACTCTTTGCAACCCCATGAACCACAGCACGCCAGGCCTCCCTGTCCATCACCAACTCCCGGAGTCCACCCANCATCTGCATATCTGAGGTTATTGACATTTCTCCCGGCAATCTTGACTCCAGCTTGTGCTTCCTCCAGCCCAGCGTTTCTCATGATGTACTCTGCATAGAAGTTAAATAAGCAGCGTGACAATATACAGCCTTGACGTACTCCTTTTCCTATTTGGAACCAGTCTGTTGTTCCATGTCCAGTTCTAACTGTTGTTTCCTGACCTGCATACAGGTTTCTCAAGAGGCAGGTCAGGTGGTCTGGTATTCCCATCTCTTTCAGAATTTTCCACAGAATTTTCCAGGGATCAGGGACTCCATATGAAACAGCCCATGGCAGGGTGGCCTCTAGCTGGATTAAGGGCAGGGTCAATCCCCTGGGAGACTTTCTCAGTTGAGGAAGAGTAACAGGAGGCTCTTGGGTGTAAGGCACTGGGCAGAGAATCATTTACAAAGTGTGTGTGCTTGTGTGTGCCTGTGTGTTTGTCCTTGCCTGAGTGTGTCAGGGGCAACGAGGGAAGTCAAAATGTGACTTGAGCTTCTTTCAGGCCCCAAGGTTAGGGAACCACCGGGGCACACTTTCTGCCAGGTTCTGTCCAAGACTCAGCTTTTCTGACAGAATCACAGACTTAGAGAACGAACTAATGGTTACAGGGGCGGGGGAAGGATGAGGAGAAGTGATAGTTAGGGAATTTAGGATGGACATGTACACACTGGCATATTTAAAATGGATTGCCAACAAGGCCCTACTGTGTAGCACAGGGAACTCTGCTCAATGTCATGTTGCAGCCTGGATAGGAGGGGAGCTTGGGGGAGAATGGATATACGTATCTATATGGCTGAGACCCTTTGCTGTCCACCTGAAACTATCACAGCATTGTTAATCAGCTATACCCCAATACAAAATAAAAAGTAAAAAAAAAAAAAAGATTCAGCTTTTCTGGTCCAAGTTTAGAACAAGCAGGTCAGGCCACTGGGCCATGGCTTGGGAGAATGGTTTCCAGCTCTGTCTTCATGTAAACCCACCTGTGTCTTCAGTTCTGGGTGCCCATCTCCGCCCCCCTCCCCATCTCCTTCATCTCTTGACCCCTGAAAGAGAATCTCCACAGACAGGCTCACACTTCATGAGCAATGTGAATTCTCTTGGTGCTGGGTAAACAGACACCCTCCTCCCTCTATTCCTCCCCCATCCACACCTCTTAACCCCACCCAGGAGGAAGCTCATTTCTGAGAGAATTCTCAGCATAACTTGTTCTGAAAATGCTGGGGACTTGCCAGGGAACTTTCCTGGGAGGAGAGTTACTGCTGTTGTCTTTGCTGGGAAGGAGCATAGGATAGTGGCGGCCTGGGTCTCCACATAACAGGCCTGTGCAGGCCCTGTGTCCCATCTCCCAAACTGGGAGTCTAACGGTCACTGGCTGATGAGGCTTAGAAGTCAGCTAGTCAGGCCCTACCCTGAAACTTTATCTGGCTTTGAGGTGAGTCATTCATTGATCCTGCACATATTTGTTGACTACTGACCATGTGCCAGATCCAGGTGCTGTGGTGAGATACGGGGGGTGGGGGGGTACCACAGTGAACACAAGGTTCTAATCAATCTGGTAAAAGACACAGTAAGTAGGCACAGTCTTTTGTGGGTGGGGTGAGGTGAGGTCAAGGTAGAGAGGTGAAGGGAACTCTGAGAAGCAGGGGACTGGGAAGGCCTCCCAGGAAGAGATGCATCTAAGCCGAGGTGAGAAAGAGATGAATGGAGCATGAAGCCATGCAAGAGGGGAGAGTGTCCCAGACAGAGGGAAAAGCATGTGTGGAGGCCCAGAGGCTGGAGAGCACTTGTCATGTTTCAGAACTGAAAGGCAGGCAAGGGGAAGGCAAAGGGAGGAGATGGTGGAAGATGAGGCTGGAGGGAGAGGCAGAAGCTGGGCCACGGAGGACTGGAAAGCCATATGGAGTGGATGAAACTTTAGCATAAAGACAATTGATAAGCCACTGAAAGGTTTTTTAGATGTGTGACATGTTCAGACTTGTGTTTTAGAAGGACGCTTTTTGCTTTGGTGTAGAGCAGTGCTATTTGATAGCTATATAACAAGAGCCACAAATGTAATTTAAAACTTTCTAGTAAAAATGTGAAAAGAAACAGATGAAATTAATCTTAAATAATATATTTTATCTAATCTATCAAAACTATTATCATTTATCATATAATTAGTAGAGAAACCTTAATATTTTACATTTTTTTTCACTTTTCATTTTTAAACCTTTGAAATCCAGTGTGCCTTTTGTACTTACAGCGCACCTCCGTTTGGACTAGCCACCTTTTGAGTACTTAGTAATAACCACATGTGTTTGATGGCCACCATGCTGGTCAGTGTAGACGTGGACAATGCATTTGAGAGGCGCAAGAACAGTGAGGTTGTTGCCGGTGACCGAGGGGGAGGATCCTGGCTTGGGGATAGAGACAAAGGGACAGATTTCAGAGACGTGACTCCCAGATTGTTATACCAGGCTAGGAAATAATACCTCTGGACTCTCTTTATCTGAAAGAGAAATAAACTATCTTGTTTGGGCCATTTTACTTGGAGTTTTCCCTCTACTTACGGCTGGACCTAATTTTAATGAAAATAGCTAAATGGAGATGTTCAATGGACAGATCTGATGGGTCTAAATAAGCAGAGAGACCTGAGAAATCTACATAGCGACTTGGGAGTTCCCAATCCATATCTGGCCCTTGAAGCCATGGTAACCTATGAGATCTCCAAGGAAGAATGGTCTTGTGGGATGAAGAAAAAGATCTAGAACAGAACTCTGAGGAACAGCAGCACTTAGGATGGGCAGAGGAAGAGAAGCCTGCTGAGGAGACTGGAAAGGAGCCACCAGTCAGGTAGGAAGAAAATCAGGGAAGAGCTGCTCCATGGAAGCACAGGGACGAGAGTCCCCAGGACCGGGTGGCCAACACGGGTAAAGACCGCTGTCTCTGCTTGCCTCTCCAGGTGAGGGAGGCATCGGAGAGCCCACATAAACCAAACTAGATTTCTGTTGCGGTCTCCGTCTTCAATAAAGGCTGGTCATGTCATCCTTCAGCTCACCCTTCAGTGGGCTCCATGCAGCTGACTCAGTTCTAGTTTCTGGAGCACATCCTTTGTTGCTGTTGCTATTTACTCGCTAAGTTGTGTCCAACTCTTTCTTGACCCCATGGACTGTGGCCTGCTAGACTCCTCTGTCCATGGGATTTCCAGGCAAGAATACTGGAGTGGGTTTTCATTTCCTGATCCAGGGGTTCTTCCTGATCCAGGGATCGAAGCTGTCTCCTGCCCTGGCAGGGGGATTTTTTTTTTTTTTTTCTAATCTCTGAGCCACCAGGGAAGCCCAGCACATCCTTCAGGCTCCTCCAAAGTCTGGCCTAGCTTTTCTGTCCAGCCTGTCCTTTCCCCGGCACATTGTCCATGCCAGGCCTGTTCCTACCACTCCCTGCCTTGGCACGTGTGCTTCTCTCGACTGAAGAACCTTCCTTCCTTCCTTCCCTCCCCCTACAAATCCTGTCATGCTTCAGGACTTACTTTAAATGCCAGCTCTTCTGCTTCCTGACTCTTCTAGACTGATTAATTGCTCTCCTCCAGCCCCAGGCCCCTGTGAGCGTTTTCATCACTCTCAATCACAGCCCTCATGGTAATCTAGCTTATGTTAAGGTTGGCTGTGTCCATGTGTTCCCCCCTCAACTAGACAGTGAGGTTGGACAGCCTGAGGCTGCTTCTGGCTTCTCATCCCTGTGCCTCTTGGTGGCCTCCTTTCCACGGAGCGTGTAACAGACATTTAAAAAATGCTTATTGAATTTCCTGGTGGTCCAGTGGTTAGGACTCCACGCTTTCACTACTGAGGGCATGGGTTCAATTCCTGGCCAGGGAACTGAGATCCCACAAGCTACACATATACAAATATAAAAAATGCTTATGGATTTAACAGAACTGTTGTCCCTCACACAGCCCCCAATATCAATGCAGTCTCTGTCTTCTCTGTCATGTTACTCCAGGGAGGATGAGGGAGACACTAAAATGGAGAGCATCCTGATTTAAGAAAGAAATAGACAAGGAGTTGGGTTTGAATCTAGCCATTCAAAGGCAGGGTCCCAGTCTGAGTTTATGCTGACCTAAGCAGCTTGTTTATCATCTAGGTGCTCAAGAATCACCTTATTAACAGAAAGGCAATAGAAAAAAATTAGTGAAATTAAAAATTGGTTCTTTGGGACTTTCCTGGTGGCCCAGTGACTAGGATTCTAAGCTCCTAATGCGAGGGACCTGGGTTTGATCCCTGGTCAGGGAACTAGATCCCACATGTTACAAGTAGGAGTTTGCATGCCACAACTGAAAGTATGCATGCTGCAAATAAAGATCCTGAGGGCCTCAACTAAGGCACAGCTAACCAAGTAACTAAATAGTTTTTAAAAAGTTGGTTCTTTGAAAAGATGAACAAAATTGACAAATCTTTAGCTAGGCTGACCAAGAAAAAAAAAGAAGACTCACATTACTAAAACCAGGAATGAAGAAAGAGACCTTAGAGAAATAAAAATGATTATACAGAAACATTATGAATAAGTATATGCTAAATTAGATAATATATATAAATGGACAAATTCTCTGAAAGATACAAACTATCAAAACTGCGTCAAGAATTAGATAATCTGAATAGACCTAAAAGAAGTAAAGAGATTGTATTAGTATTCTCAAGTGTTAGGCACTCAGGCCTGTCTGACTCTCCGTGCCCCCACAGACAGTAGCCCACCAGATTCCTCTGTCCATGGAATTCTCCAGGCAAGGATATTGGAGTGCGTTGCCATTTCCTTCTCCAGGGGGTCTTCCCAACACAAGGATTGAACCCTGGTGTCCTGTGTTGGAGGCATAATCTTTACCATCTGAACCACCAGGGAACCCCTCAAAACCCCTCAGTAATTTCAAAACCTTCCACAAAGGAAAGTCCAGGCTTAGATGGCTTCACTGGTGAATTCTACCAAATGTTTAATTAATGACAATCCTTCACACTCTTCCAAAAAGTAGAATAGGAAGGAACACTTCCAACTCATTCCATGGGTCTAGTATTATTCAGATATCAAAACGATACAAGAAAACTATATTATTAATATCACAAATATAGATACAAAAATCCTCAACAAAATACCAGCAAAATGAAACCAGCAACATATGATAAGGATTACATGTTATGACCAAATGGGATTTATCCTAGGAATGCAATATTGGTTTAATATTTGAAAATCAATGTAATATACCATATTAATACATTAAAGAAACCAAATCATATGATCATCTCAACAGATGCAAAGCAAGTATTTGAAAAAACTCAATAACATTTCATGATAAAAATACTCAAAAACCCCCTAGGAATAGAAGTGAACTTCCTTAACTTGACAAGAACATCTACAAAAACTCCACCTCTAACATTAGGCTTAAGTGTGAAAGATGAAAGTTTTCCCCCTGAGATCAGGAACAAGTCAAGGATGTCTGCCCTCACCAATTCTATTCAACATTACACTAAACTTTCTAGCTAGGAACTTTGGCAAGAAAAAGGAACAAAAGGCACTCAGGTTGGACAGAAAGAAGTAATACTATCTCTATTCATAGATGATATGATCTTGTATACAGAAAATTTTAAAGAAAATACACACACACAAACTTTTAAGGATTAATGAATGAGATCAGCGAGGTTGCAGAATACAAAATACAATAAATGAAAACCAATTGTATTTCTATACACTAGCAATGAAAAACCTGAACATGAAATTAAGAAAATAATTTGATTTACAACATCAAAAAGAGTGAAATATTTAGGAATATATTTATGAAAATAAGTATAAGGTATATACATTGAAAATTATAACACATTATTGAAAGAATTAAAGAAGACCTAATAAATGGAAAGAAATTCTGTGTTCATGGACCAGAAAACTTAATATTGTTAAGATAGCAATACTCCCTAAATTGATCTATGATACAACACAATCTCTACCAAAATCCTAGCTGTTTGTTTGTTTTTTTTTTTTACAGAAATTGGTAATCTGGTCCTAAAAGTCTTATGGAAATGAAAGGGACCTAGATTAAACAAAGAATCTTGAAAAAGATGAGCAAAGTTGGAAGACTTACACATCCAGATTTCACAACTTCCTGCTAAGCTACAGTAAAGAAGACAGTGCAGTACTGGCATAAGGATATATAGACCAATGGAAAAGAAATGACAGTCCAGAAATAAGTTCTTTTATTTATGGTCAACTGATCTTTGACCATTTAGTGATGAAAGAATAGTCTCTTCCATTAAACATGTGTGACAATTAGATATCCACATGCAAAAACAATCTCACACCACACACAAAAATTAACTCAAAATGGATCATTCTAAAACTCTTAGAAGGAAACACAGGACACACCTTTGTGATCTCAGGTTAGGCAATGATTTCTTGGGTGTGACATTGCAAGCACAAGGGGACAAAAGTAAAAATAGGTAAATTGGTCTTCATCAAAATTAAAAATAATAGTGCTTCAAAGGTGAAGTACAAAAGTGAAAATACAGTTCAGAGAATGGGAGAAAATATTTGTGAACCATGTCTCTCTGTAAGATGAGAACACTTGCAACTCAACAATAAAAAATGTCCAAATTTTAAAAAATGAGCGAAGGATCTGAATAGACATTTCTCCAAAGAAAATACACATTGCAAATAAACATAGGAAAAGATGCTCAACATCATTAGTTACCAAGGAAATACAAATGAAAACCACAATGAAATACAAATGAAAACCACTTCACACCCACTAGGCCAGCTGTGATAAAAAAAAGACATATAATAATAGGTGTTGGTGAAGATGTAGAGAAATCACAATTCTTCACACAGTGCTTGTAGGAATACAAAATGGTGCAGCTTTAAAAAAAATAGCCTGACCATTTTTCAAAAAGTTAAGTGTGCTCTCAAAAAGCTGTGTGCTAAGATGCTTCAGTTCTGTCTGGCTCTTTGTGATCTAAGGACTGGAGCTCACCATGTAGTCTCCTCCATCCATGGGATTCTCCAGGCAAGAATACTGGAATGAGCTGCTGTGCCCTCCTGCAGGATATCTTCCTGACCCAGGTATTCAATCCACATCTCTTATGTCTCTTGTATTGGTAGATGGGTTGTGCCACCTGGGAAGCCCCTTAAAACCCAGCAATTCCTCACTTAAGTGTATATTCAAGAGAAGTGAAAATATATATCATTGCAAAACTTATACATGAATGTTCACAGAGGCATTATCCATAGTAGCTAAACAGTGGAAATAACCCAAATGTTCACCAACTGATGAATGGATAAACAAAATATAGTATGCTCATACAGTGAAGTTTTAACCAGTCATAAAAAGAATGAAAGGCTATACAAAAGACAATTACAAAAGGCTATAACCACATATTTTATAATTGTTTATATGAAACATCATTATTAAAAGCTTATATGAAATGTCCAGGCAAATCCATAGAGATGGAAAGTAAATTAGTAGAGATTGGGAGAAAAGGGAGGCAAGATTGTCAACGAGTATGGGGTTTCTCTTTGGGGTGGTGAAAATTCTCTAAGATTAGATGGTGGCAATGGTTGCATAGCTCTATGAATAAAATAAAACCCACCAAATTGTGCAATTTTAAAAGGTGAATTTATGGTATATGAACTATAAAATATATGTGTGTGTATATATATACACAAATATATATACATA